ACGAGTCTGTCTGGTGCTTCTGTGCCTGTCAACGAACCTAGGAGCCCCCCGTCCTCCGCGGACCTGTCTGGGACCCAGGGCCGGCTTTCATTAGATTCTTCCGCCCCGACTGAATACAGTCTCCCGCCTTCGGTGAACGAAGGGTACTATCCTAGCCCGACTTCTCTCGGCAGCATGAACCAGACCCAGCCGTATATGGATGTCCACTCGCACATGTCTTCTGCTCAGTCATACGCTCCTCAAGGCGCAACCGCAGGCGCAATGTCCCAGTATCAGTACCACGGACAACCCCCTGTGATGCAGCCCGCGTCTTCTTACGCCCCGGCTGCTTACCCCCAATATGGATACCCCACTGGCGTCACTTCACCGCCAACAGGACACCCACCAAGCTCCATGGGTGGCCAGATGCCGGCTCAGCTGCTGCCGTTGCCTGGTAAGCTCCAAAGCCAGAATGTGATCGATGATTATTCTGATCGTTATCAAGTGAGCAATCACGCCGTGGCGCCTCCGAGCGGATATGGGAACAGTACTGGTGCTCCGCTACAAGGGTTCGTATTTGATGGTACTGGTCAAGTTGCTCCTCCGGGAGCAAAGCCGCGAGTGACAGCCACATTATGGGAAGATGAGGGGAGCCTCTGCTACCAGGTGGAAGCGAAGGGGGTGTGTGTAGCTCGACGAGAGGGTAAGTTCATTCTTTGGAAAAAGGTCAATTTGAAAACTGTTCACTGACTTGTTTTTCTTTTTTCTTAACCTTCCAGACAACCACATGATTAATGGTACAAAGCTGCTAAATGTAGCTGGCATGACCCGTGGTCGACGTGATGGAATTCTCAAAAGTGAAAAGCTTCGCCATGTTGTGAAAATTGGACCGATGCATTTAAAAGGTGTCTGGTATGTATTTTGATCCCACAGAGCACGCGCAGCATCAGTCGCTAATTTTTTACTCTTCAGGATCCCATTTGAGCGTGCTCTGGAATTTGCCAACAAGGAGAAGATCACCGATCTATTGTACCCACTCTTTGTGCATAATATTGGTGGTCTTCTATACCACCCGGCCAACCAGACTCGGACAAACATGGTAGTGCAAGAGTCCCAGCAGCGGCGTTTGGAAGGCCCTCCGCCGGGTCCCCAGCGCACGCCGTCTGGCTCTCAGCAAGCCCCGATTCACCATCACCACCCCTCTTTGCAGACCCCCATGTCTTCTCATATGTCGCAAGGCCAAATGAATGGCCAGCCTGGCTCCAGACCAGGCCTCGAGCGTGCCAACACGTTTCCCACACCGCCAGCCAGCGCATCCAGCATGATGAATCAAGGCAGCTCATACGAATGGGGCGGACAAGTGCCACACACACAGCCCCTGTCCATCGACACTACACTGAGCAACCAGCGCTCAATGCCAACCACCCCCGCAACCACCCCGCCGGGCAACAACATGCAGGGTTTGCCAGCCTACCAAGGCCAAGGATACGACAGCTCCAAGCCCTACTATTCCGCGGCGCCACAAACGCACGCCCAATACGCGCCGCACACCCCGCTCACCCAATCAGGGATGTCCAGCTACGGCCAACCCCTGCCCGGCGGGTACATGAAAAGCGAGATGGCGCCACCAAACCCACGCCCGGGCGTCTCCGAGCCCGAAACCTCCGAGCGCGACTCAAACCGCTACAGCCAGAGCAATGGACCCGGCGAGACCGTCGCCGAGCACGACCAGGAGTACATGCAAGACCACAACGCCGGCTACAACTCCAACCGTGGCTCCTACACCTACACCACCAACCCTTCCGTCAGTTCCCTCACCGGCGAACACTCCCAGCTTACCCCGGAGATGACTAGCTCCCCGAGCCAGCAAAACGGCTCCGGTCGTATGACCCCGCGCACGGGCGCCGGCCCCCCTCCTCACTGGGCTTCGGGGTATAACACTCCTCCTCGTCCTGCCGCCACTACCCTGTACAACGCTGTCAGCGACACGCGCGGTACCCCGGCCAACGGTGCTTCGGACCCTTACTCCATGGCCTCAACCACGGCCCCAGTCTACCCGACTGGAAATGGCTCGCTGAGTGCGGGCAGCAAGCGTATGCGTGAGGATGACGATATCCGTCCCGAGAGTACGGCTGAGTACGAGACCTCGAAGCGCCGCAAGACCATCACCGATGCTACCCTCGGTGGTCCGGTCGGTGGTCCGCCTATCCTTCAACCGATGAAGCCTAGCGGGGTCATGGCTCGTCATCGGTGAGTTGTGTCTGATTCGATTGTGGCCTCTAGTTAGCTTTCAGCTTGTTTTGATTCTTGTTTTTCGATTTTCTTCGGGTCTTCTTTGGTATTTGCTGGATTTTGTTTTTTTTCCTGTTGGTCTATTTCTCGGTCGGAGTTTGTTTTTTCATGATAGACTGCGCATGCACAACCCGCATGGCGCGCCGTGGTCTTGTCTGGGTCTCGCGAACATGTGGAGATCGACAGGCGCGGCGGTGTCGACACGAAACGAAGCTCATTTGTCTCTGCGTTTTTGTTTTCAGGAAGAAATCTCTGTTTTCGAGACTATCTAACTTTGGGGAGGAGAACTAGGCGCAAGATCTCTTCACGGTCCAACATTAGAGCAATGTTGAAAGACTTGTCACTTGTTGAAGACTTGGATAGTGATGCAAACCTCGATGACTACGATGTGACGAATCTCTTATGAACGAATTTTCTTTGTGTGATGACTTGGGCCATCTTAACGAGTTTTTCTTTTTCCTTTTTTGCTTTCTTGGGTTTTGAAAAGGATGTGGCATGGCCTTTGGTTTTACTCCCCTCTCTACTTTCTGCTTTTGCCACTCTACTAGAGAGATGATTATGGTAATGAACGGTTATGAACTCTGGGTCTTTAGCGACATACAACGTTGGTTTTGGTCCGGAATGGATTGTTCTTTTTCCAACTGCTTTTCTATTGTAGAAGTGAATTTCCCTTTCGACTTTTGCCTTGGATTTAGTGTAATACATCGTCCTGTAACCTCCAATCCCGACACACAAGACCCGACCTCGCCCTCTTAGAGTACCTATCCTTCCGATACAATTAGGTTTAACGTGGATTAAAAAGGGCTACAATTGAATAATAAAAGGACAAATAGAGGGCTAGATTACACGGAGGTCTCTTCTTTGCTAGTAGAAATGGTGTATAAGTCATCGGTATCACCGACGAGAAGTCCACCGGCATGTCCTTCCTCGATCTTACGGGTCGTCTCCGGCGACAACCACACATACCTCTCTCTACTTGTCCTGGGCGCGGTTGTCCACCATCGTAGATACCCACAAAGCCATAGTCATCATACATCTCGGATGGTCTAACAACGCTACAGACCACGTTTGTCGTTGGCTCGAGATCGATCTCCAGAGTCGCTCGCGTCCCATCAAGCGATGGAAGAATTTCCTCCTGCCAGCCCTGCTCTGCTGCCCGGTTTTCCATGTCTTGGACATAGAATGGATTCTCCCTTCTCCGAGCAATTTGTAAGAGACTTTCTGTCGGTGCATGTGCAGGCTGGAGGGCTCTATACGTCGCTTCGTCGTCAGACATGACACACGTAATGGAAATCTGCGGGAGCATGGATGGACACTTGACGGCAAAATTGTGTAGCGTGTTCTTGTAAGGCTTCAATGGCCACCATATCATCTAGGGAGATACTGTGAGTTGTTGCTAAAGTCAGCAATATCATTGACCATGACACGGCGGGTGTTGATAGCAATGCGAATGGTGCAATAGTTGGCTTCGTTAGATGCAAGTGCACTTAATGAGCGACATGGGAGGAGTGCTCTGCTAGGGTTGACTTCAAGCTGGTCGGCCCGCCGTCTAGCAAACATTGTGTTATGATGAATTCCGCGAAGGATGCAATAGGACTTGGTGGTGCTTCTGAGCCTTCGGGGGTGCAATGAGTCGGACATATCTATCCACATTTCCGTCGTATGCAGCCATCTGTGTGAGAACGGTCTTTTCAAACGGAAGATCAGATGGAAGAGGACTCCAAAACAGATTAGCCTCTTCTGGGCCGAGTTCAAAATGCAAGTCATCTTTCTTTCCTCAATGTGAATGAAGCCATCCTCTTCAATATCTATATCGTCTGGAGACGTGTCTGGGGGATTCTGAGGAGGCATAAGAGAAGTACGAAGTCCACTAATGATCGCCCGGCGATGTCAGATGGGTCTAGGTCCTGTGGGACTCTCCTTCCCCTCCATCGCGGCGACGCATTGGTCATGATCATATTCTGAGAAAGACTGGCTTCCTAGGTCATCATCTGTTCCACTGTCTGATCCACTTGAGCTTGGCATGTTTGTTCGATACCGCTGCAGGCCACTGAGGAGTTTCCACTGGTAGGTTTCCCAGACGGTTGAGAGATGAATAGATGGAGAGTAGAGGGCAATGAGAGCTGGAAGCCAGAGTATTTCGGAAGCATAGGAGGACCGGACATCGAATGGCGCATAATGACAAATCGTGCATGGATAAGATAATAAAAGTACCACCTGAGTCATTGTACATGTAAACGGCCCCGGGGACCTGTGGGTTTCCTTTTCGAGTTAGTTTTGCCTTTTCGGTTTAGCGTCCGTCGCGTAACCTTGGAACCTTCAAAGGTTCAACAGACCTCCCTTCTGTTACCTACCCAGGTACAACTTGTTAGGAATCCGCAGGAAGTGAGATAGCCTTGATTATCGGAGAACAGAGATACCTCCCATTGCCAAATGGTCAAGAGAAAATGACAGGGCGGTCTCTACAAGCAACCTACGGCAGCCTGAACAATTGCTCGGCCGATCTGACTAGGATAGCCTGGAGCGAAGGGCTGAAGAAAATGATACCGCTGAAGACGTAATACAAAGAGCGGTTCAGAATTTTCAATATAAGATGGAGGCAAGAGCTCTTGCTTTGATCCGAGCACGTTCCAAAGGACCACATGCTTTGACAGACGATGTAGTGTAGCGAAGGAAAATGATTGAAGATTCAGCTTTGGCCGAACAGAAAAAGGCTTGCATCCTGCAAATTACGTCCGCTCCATCCACTTCTGCAGAACAGCAGCAACTTGCAAACTATTCTTCTCCATGAACACCATATGTCCATTTCCATGGATGCCGATATCCGCCAGCTGCAGATGTTCCGCCGGGACACCTGCCTGTTGCAGGAACTTGACTGTGCACCAGTCATAAGGCGCGTGGTAGGAGGATTCGGTCGTCAGGACCAGGATGGGCACCCCGGCGAGATTGACGAGCTGTCTCGGTGCGGGGGAATCGGCCTGGATTACGCAGTCGGAGTACAGCGACGAGTTGGAAGGAATGACGTGTTTCACGAGCTCGACTGGATCGGCCAGGGCTGGTGAGTAGGTTAGCGGGATATCGGTAAGCCCATAGACGCGCGTGGAAGAATTGCTGAAGACAGCGTCCTGGAAAGGAGGACCAGTCGGTTCGATTGAAACGATGGAGTGGACGAGATTCGGGCGCACATCCGCAAGGAGCCAGGGAATAGTTCCGCCCTGGGAGTGCGCGAGGAGAATGACTGGGGATCCAATGGTGTCGAGCAGGGCGGCGCCGGCGGCCTGGACGGTCGATTGCTGGTGGGTTGCTGAACTGAGGAACTCGACCGTCGAGGAATAGTAATTGTCGAAATTTGGGTCGCCCATGACGCCCGTCCCGTTCCATTGGGTGTGCAGGGAGGCCTGCGGCCAGAGGTTGTACAGTTTGGGCGCGGTGAAGCGCTGCTGCAGCAGCTCGGCGCTGTAGGTGTTCATTGTCCCATTGCCGGGGAACCAGGCACTGCGGCCGCGGAAGGTTTGGTCGATGATATAGCATGCATATCCTTGAGAGAGAAAGTAAGAGGCCCAGCCTTCCCTCCGTCAGGCTTGTTGAGCCAATTCTGCCAGCATCACGGTTAACCTCTGAAAAGGGGAGAGGTGTTCTTCAAATGATACATACAGTGCCTGTTTGAGCTTGTCCATGGATGAAGACAATTGGATACGGCTTCGTAACACCCGCAGCCGGAGTCAGTTTTTCCACGTACATCTGATCTGCGAAGACATGCTGGCCAGCACTATTCAGAATGTATTGTCCTCCAACATACATGTACGATCGCTGGGCTGGCGTCTCACCGCGCCAGCCTGAAGCTGTAGCAACAATTGCCCAGATCAATAATAATAATGTCCTCATATACATCTTGAGAGGATGTCAAAGCAGGGGTCGAACATGAAACGAGAACAAGGTTCATGGGGAGATTATGTAGGACGGGGCTAATCAAATCAAGAGCCCCAGTGGTTTTGCCGAATTTCCTCCGTCGGGCTTTTTAATCTTGTTAACCCCGGAAATACGAGGAAGAAGCGAAGAAATGGAAGAGAAATAGAATTTGAACTTTGCCAAGTGAACCTTGACTTTCGCTTGTCTACAAAAGCTGGGAAATAAGTAAAATTAGTTGAATCCTTTAAGATTTCTTTTTATGTAATAATGTCCGGTGGTTATTCAAAGTCCTCCCATCATCTTTTGATATAGTTTGTCCCCGTCTCAGTGTTGCCCTGAAATGCTCTGAATGCCATGGATTCCACCCTCATCATTCTTTGGGTGTTTACCTGGCTGGCAATCGGCTTGATTGTGCTTCGGCTGCTACTGCGAAAGTTGAAAGGACGCCAGTTCATCCAGGGCGATTATTTTGCAATGGGAGCGATTCTCTGTGCACTCGTACGCCTCGCCTTGGTCCATGTTATTCTCATCTGGGGAACCAACAATATGTCCACCACGTTCAGACGCTCGCACAATTTCACCCCCGAGGAGATCCGTCACAGAGAGATTGCGAGCAAATTTGTGCTCGCCAATCGAGTCTTCTATAATTCCTAGTACGTAGGTTGAATGGAACTGCAGGGTCGTCCCGCTATTTCTTTTCTCATGTTTCTTTTTTAGTCTCTGGTTGCAAAAATTGGTCCTGCTTGATACCTACCGCAGACTGCTCACCAACCTCCGCTGGGAGAAGGCCACGATGATCTCATATATTGGGATATTCGCAGCCACTTATGTGACCGTACAAATTGTGACTTTCACAGAGTGCGACCCATTCAACCATTACTGGATGGTATTGCCGGATCCTGGTATTCCTTTCCTTCTTCCCTCTTTCATGTTTACTTTTACTTTGATTTATTTTCTAACCAATGTAGGCATATGCTGCCGGGCACAGCTGCAATTGATCGTCCTCGGTATGCCCTCCGTCTGGAAGATCGTTTCAATGTATAGCTCTAACATTGTAGTTTCATCAGGTGTCCTAAATGTTATCACCGATATTATGCTTATCGCCTTGCCAATTCCAATTCTGGTTCTGGTTAAACGATCCATCATTGAGTAAGCTTGGCCCGAGTTATATCAACACATGCATATCTTTGACGCGTTCTCTCCAGAAAAATCCAGCTAGCGGCCCTCTTCGCCGTCGGTCTTTTCATTGTCGCAATCACTATTGCTAGACTACCCCAAAACGCCAAAAACTCCACTGCACAAGTGAACAGAACCACTTGGGCGTCCATTGAGTTACTAGCTGCCGCTGTCGTCGCCAACGCTCCCGTCCTATACGGACTTCTCAAGGGGCAGAGCGAAAGGTCCAAGAACGCAGCATCAGGAGCTGGATCAACTGGACCGTCGCAAGGAATTCAAAAGAGACCAGCAAATGAGCCCGAATTCGAACTGCAAAGGACCCGTCATAGTAAGAGAGGGTCTGCTCTTGGTTCAAGGATATCATCTAGGAATTATTTGGAGATCGATGGCGAAAGTAGTCAGTCGTTGACTCGAAGACTGGAAAATTAGTATCGGTATGTCTATTTCAACCAAAACACTTATCAATTAATATGACCTCACACGCATTCAAGAGGGACAAGATATAGTTTGGCTATACTACATAGGTAGAGTCACGAAGTTCCAAGGTTGGTGCTGTATGCTGGTCGCATTCAGTGTTGGCTTATTGTCTTGCATTTACTGGCTGTTGGAGCCAGGAGCTTGCGAGGCGTTAGGACGCTGGCCTTGTTGCATATGAGAAATCACACTGCAAACAACTTCCGCATAAAAAGGATGACACCAGTAAGGTAATCGGGCGTGACCGCCCTCGACCCACGCCCGCATCAAGTGCATACGTATACTCTGAAAACAGTACAGTCAAGGAAAACACCTGATGGTGGTTCAGCACGAGGTTCGCGGTTTCAAACCACCACTCAAGGTCGACTAGAAGAGGGGGGGAATGTTAATCCTTTCTGACCTCGCTTGAATGTAATTATTGGTAAGAAGAAGCAGAAGAGGGCCAGGGAAGGCCTAACGAGTGCAAGTGCACAGGACAACCAGAGACTACTAGGTAGTAAGGCACCAATTTAGTGCCTCAGGCGCTGGGGTTATGCAACCTTGTTAAAGCGCTCAGGACAGTCTAACCCAAAGTAGCAAAACCAAAACATCCGAACCATGGTTCTTTCCACTTGACGACTTCCAAGGTTCTTGCCCAAATTTCAACTCAAACACAACCACATCCCAGACCACTTCATCCCGGCCAACGTGGCCCTTAAATCATGAATGGGAACCCGCGCTGCCAAGCCGCCAAACTGCAGGAGCCAATCATGGACAACGACCGACCAGAACGAGAACGACCTGCAAAACCACAACTCCCAGAACCCCGAAATCACCTTCATTTCGATCCCTGGCAGTCAGCCTCAACAGGACACCAGCGCGCAGATGAAGGCGGCAGTTTCCTCGGTTCAACCTCATGGCGAGATGCTCGCTCGGCAAAATTGACCATGCAGTATCGAAGTGGGGATTGCCTTCCAGGGCGGGGAACGGGACCGGGAACAGCAAGCAAGACCACGCAAAAGTCCACCCTTGTACCCGGTGCATTCGATGGAAAATGCGCGTCCCAGTCACCGCCTAAAGCCCCCGCTTCCGGTAAATGGGCTATGGTAGCCGGGGATGTGGCTAAGCGGAATGATCTCGGCGTTCGGGATATCCGGTCATTTATGGGTGTGAGCAAGAGGAAGGCCGTGGATGAATTCGAAAAGGAGACTAAGGCGGAGACGAAGAAGCCTAGGACTGTTGTTGGGGGGAACGGGAGTCTAAGTCCGGCTCTATATGCAAAGGAAATGGACAAGGAAACGGAAAAGTCTGAAATAGAAGACAACCCCCAACCCGAGTCCCGCTCTGGCACCGGCCTCGATCTGAAAGCGACTTCACGTATCTTCGCTGGTGTCTCGATCTTCATAAATGGCTCTACGCTCCCCCAGATATCGGAGTACAAACTCAAACATCTACTCGCTTCGAATGGCGCCAAGACCTCCATCTATATGGCCCGGAAGACGGTGACGCATATTCTCGTTGGACAGCCCAATACCGGATCTGGGGCTGGAACGGCTGTGTCTGGTGCAGGGGGAGGCCTTGCGGCGAGTAAGCTTCAGCAGGAAATTGCCCGTGGGGGATGGAAAGGTGTGAAGGTCGTTAGTGTGGACTGGTATGTATATGGCGTTGAATGACCGACGAGTGATCCTTTCTGACGTTGAACTTGTTATCACTAGGGCTCTCGAGAGTATCAAAGCTGGGCGTCGTCTTGCGGAGTCTCGTTTCCCTGGTATGCATGTTGCTGCCAAGGGGCAGCGGAGTGTTGCTGGTATGTTTGGTGTGCAAGGGGTGAAGTGATCTTCTCTTCCATGGATATGGTTTGTATTCAGCGACTTCTTTTTCCTCTTTTTGGTTTGCATTGCATTGCATTGCGTGTGGCATTTTGCCGTCGATGGCGTTTTGGATAGAGTCATGGTTTTCCGTTAATCTTCTGGGTTAGGATGAGGAATCCTCCAGCTGCATGCACTTATGATACCCAATGATCTATGATCACATCGAATCTAATCTGATCGTTCTGGCTATTGAACATCTGGTTTGGAATTTCTCTTCGTTCAATTGACTAATACACTACCGCTGTCGATATAGCTTATGATGGAAGTTGACTTCCAGTACATTAATTTCCACTTGACACTTAGACGTGAAGTTCATTTCATTAATCGATCATACACCATCATCATAGCATCCATTATATACACAATCAAAATCGAAACCCAATGACATGTACATGTACATGTACAGACAGGTGATAAAACAGGGTTCGATCGAACACAAAATAATCCAAAAAATACAGAAAAGAAAAGAAATAACAACAATATCTCCAAATAAGCGCCATAGCCATGCAAATATAATGCGAAGAAAACAGGATATATGCATCACAAATTAGCCCCAAGATGGCTATATAAGCCAGGTGGATCGTGCAGCTTTCTCACATTCACCTGAATGAACTCCCCCTCCCTCCGCGTGTGGCATATGTCTCGCCGTCATGACTGCTGTTGTCAGACATATGCCGACGCCAGCCACTCTGTTGACGAGTCGGGTAGGCAGGCGGAGGGTCATTGGGATCTTCTATCTCGCTGGAGAGGGTCGTTACCATATCGGATTCTGAAGAGACTGATCTCAAGGCCGGTACATTGATTGCGGTGGGCATGAGGTCGAGGGTGGTGGTGGGCGTGATATCAGGGAGTGGCGGGAGGGGGTTTGGATGACGGTGGGTAGAGAAGGAGGATTGGGCTGGAGGCGGGGCGCGAGAATGGGCATGCACAGAAGAGTTTGTCCGTGTGCGAGTTCTGCCGCCACTGCCCCTCGAGGAAGGGTGTCTCCAGCCCTCTTCTTCGTGCGGGATGGGTTCGGGGGACGAGGTGGTTTGTCGGTTGTGTGGGAGGTAGTAGGGGTTGTTGGACTCGGAGTAGTGGTGGTGATTGTCCTCGTAGGCGGGGAACGCGGCTGTGGAAACGTTGCTGGACACGGAGTTGCCGTGTGATCGGCCTGCAAACATGGGCTGAGGCTCGCCAAGCTCTGACTCGGCGCTCGACCAGCGGTCTAGCTTTTCGTTTAGGAGTTCTTCTTCTGGTTGGGAGCGGCGTGAGTCGCCGTGGACGAGACCAAGTGACTCTTCCTCAGTTGCAGACTTGCGCATATCGGCTGCCAGGTGAGTTCGGCGTAGGATGCCACGGGGCGAGCCCGGTGTGGGTTTGACGGAAGATTCGCTGTCGGCCTTCGTACGGCCCATCATGTTGTTGAAAGAGAACTGCCGACGGGCAGTGTTGGCGAGAGGTTCCGGTGTCAGGGATTCAGCCTTTTCGTCTGCCCATGATACAGACCGCAGCGTATCACTACGCCCACGGTTTGCATTGAATGGAACCTCCAAACCCCCAGCCATACCGGCACCATGGTACTCGGCATCAGCATTGCCATTTTGTTGTGCCATGTCTGTCATTCCCACTGATTGCGTGTTGGCGTTGGAGCTTTTCTCGTCTTCTGTATTTACAGCTTTCCATTGGGAAGGATGAAGGACGCTGGTAGCCCGAGACCGAATGCTATCCATGAAAGAATGACCGCTTTGCTTGGTGTTAGGTCGGTGGTTCTCCTCATCCTCAACAGCGGGAAATCGGGACATGCCCCACGGTGGATGTTGCTTGACCGAGGGTGTTCGTGGAGTGATCGGACGTGACATAGTTGGTCCCTCGCCAATAACGGTCTTGCGCCGGCGCAGGCCATCCCATTCAATTATCTCATTCTCGGCCGGTACTTTCAGGGTATCCTCATGTTTGTCATGGAAGAAACGGCGCGCTTCGTCTGTCTCCATAGTGCGGCGAGCAGTTGAAATGCGACGGATGATAGAAGCCGCACCACGAATGGAGTCTGCCTTGGGCTCAGACTCGGGCTCTTCTACCTCGGCAACCTCTCGAATCTGATCCAGATCGCCCTTGAAAATAGCAGCATCGGGCACGTCCTTGGCGGACTTGGATAGCTGCAGCAATACCACACCGGCACAGATTTGCAAGAACCCAATAATCACAGTTGCAATCTGGATTCCGGTACCCTTGAAGCCCTGGAACAGAATGGCGGATGTGATAATGGTGGCGCTAGTGAACATCACATAGTAAGTCGGGGTGACCAGAGCGGCATTAAAAAGATTAAGCGCTTTCTGTATATCGGGGTTAGCATAGCCATGAGACACAAAGCGAGCGAAGACGTACATTGAGATAAATAATCTCGGTCAACAGCGTCCCGATAACGAACACAAACAAGACATAGAGGAACCAATGCTTGAACTGCTCCTGGCCATTAATCTGAGCGAGAATGGCAGATCCCAAGCCCTGGGTAGCCACAACACTCAGTCCACCAACCATGCTGCAAATACTGATATAAACAAACATGCTCGACTTTCCATAGCGTGGACCAGCCCAAAGAGCCGTAAAAGCAGCTCCAACAATGATCACCCCAGCATAGACCAGAAACCCAGGCTGAATAACAAAATGCTGCATACTCTGAATATCCTTGACAGACGACTGCTCAGGCGCATTCATAGCAATAGTCACCGATCCAATAATACAACAGAAACAGCCAACCTTGCCCACGAAACTAAGCCGTTCCTTGAGGAAAATCGCTGACAGAATCGTCGTAATCACAACCGAGAGTGCACCAAGCGGCGTAACCAAAATCGCATCGACAAACGCATACGCTACAAAATTGCAGATCTCTCCAACAATCATCAGCGTCATACCAGTCCACCACCAGAAATTCTTGAGATATCCATATCCCTCACCAGCTTCCTCATTGTACTTCACGTTCGCCTTCAGCAGTCCAATTTTCTTAACCACAAACGAGATACCGATGAAGACGCCCGATGCGACAGCCAGCGATATACCGACGGCCTTGTACACCGGTGGACGGCCTGAGGTTTCCGCGCGTGCGAGAAGGTTGTTTGCATGCGATAAGGCGGAATTGGGATCCATGATTGTGGATATTGGAGATTTAAACCACACTGACCAGCAGTGGGAAGAGGAGGAGAGGTTTGTCGCGGGGACAGAGAGTCGTCCGAAGACGAGACTCGGCGACTATTTGAAACACTTGGTGATGCTGCCACGATATCGATAAAGATTGGGCGTATCGCCGAGGCGACTATCAACGAGGGGCCTGCGTCGTCAACAATGGTTCCGAGTCGAGGTGTCCCAACGACTTTTGTGATAGAGAAATAATTGTGATTTAGAATATTGGCGATCAGGGAATGCTTCTGGAAAATGTCCACGAGGAAAGGAAAAATGTGGGATTCCGCAAGGGGGAAAGTCAGCCGTTGGCGCTATGACTTTCGGTGGCAAATGGCAGGATCAGATTTTGAGGAGAACAAGAAAGTAGAATCTATTTAAGACAAAGAATAGGAGTGAAGAATCGAATAAAAAGTACAAAATTAAAGAAAAAGAAAAAGAAAAGGGGAAGGGGAAGGGGAAGAGGAAGAGATCGAGATGCAAAACAAAGAGGCTGGGCCCATGTGGGGAAAGGAGGTACTGGTACTCCTGGTGAGGCGGGCTGAGCTATGATCGGCAGGTACCTGTACTTTTTGGCCTAAATTGCTTAACTGTGTAGTTTATCCCCCTCGAACAATATAATATCTACATGTAGGTAGTATACGTTGGGATCAACAGGCAATTTACATTGTACAGGAATATCTATGTAGATGAAATTGCCATGCTTGCTTTTTGCTCTCACATAATTACTATACAGACCATCAATTCCCACATTTGGTGTCTCATAAATGTCGTCATTCATTATGCCCGAGCGAGACCAGCACTGGCCATCTCTTCGCAGGGTCAACTAAGATAAAAATCATAAATAGGATCGCATGCACCCAAGACGCCCCTCTTAGCCTTAATCAACCGTCTCACCAGAGGGGTATTCAGCAGGAAAGACACAAAAACAACGTAACGCACATGTAAAAAAAAAAAAGGGACTCGAGATGAAAGCACGTGAGAAGAGGATCACCGCACGTGGTAGCTGGGCTTGCGTTGCCGGTTTACTGTTGGTGGCGGCTCATCAACTGGGTAAGGGGGTCGGACTTTGGTGTTCGAGGTAGACAATGGTGCTTGGGAGAACAGTGGTGCAGGCATAGCCACGCCGCCGTCATCTTCTTGAGCTGGGTATGGGATGGGCGTCTTGGGCGGCACTGGTGGTGCCATGCCATTGAAGGTTGCAAAGTACTCATCACTCCGGGTGGGAGAGCTCTGTTGCTGCGAGCTTGGTCGGCTTGCAAGCTCGTGGCTTCGGCGATAATCACTGCCAGATTGCCGAGGCGAGGAAACAGATATGCTATCCTGAGGTGTTGGGTGAATCGGGAGTGTGTCTTCCGTTGGGGATGTAGCCACCACGGTTGGAATGGGTGGGGGCGCTTGTGAAGGTGGAGGGTGGTGTGCAGAGCCAACGAAGTCCGCAGGTAATTCCGCAGGTAGTTCGACAGCGAAGTGCGCAGGGGTGGAACATGTGATTGAACGGGAGGAGAAAGCGAAAGCTCTTCAGTCTCAAGATCAAACGATAGGTCATCGCGATCCCCGCCAGCTGCAGCATGGCTCGCCAGACGGCGGTTCATGCGGTCGATCTTAGCAAATCTCACACCTGCTTCTAGAATCATCTTCTTGACTTCGGGCCTGGCCAGATACTGCCGTGTGTTGGTGCTGATATCGGCTAGCCGGTGCCATTCATTCATACCAAACTCGCCAACCCCGACCTCAACATTGAGGCGGAAATAGTTGTCTTTGCTGACATTGCGTTTCGCGAGACGGTCTCGAAGCATGTCATTGTGA